GGATCGTTATCAAAAGGACATGCCATGTTAGTGAAAAAAGTCGCCACCTACTGTGCCTAATGGACTTCTAATATACTGACTCTGATTTTTTTAAATGATTTTTAAAATGACAGACGGCAGAACTAGGCTACGCCAAAACTCGCCTGCTGACTGAATGAATGAGGAAATCAAATGGAGTGTGTGGCTCTGAAAGAGGGAGGAGACAGAGAGAAACTCGAGGTTCATTGAGAAAAACCTGGTCCCGACCAGGTTAGGTTCATAGAGTCTGTTACTATGGTAACTGACCGAGAGCTTAAGTTACCTCTCTCCCTGAAACAGGTTAGAGTTACCCCTCTTTCTCTGGTTTGAGTTACCTCCCTTTCTGAAACGGAAAACTCAGAGTTTCCCTCATTTCAGGGTTAACAGACTCTGAGTTTTCACTAAACCTGCTTTGTGAAATGGACCCCAGGTGAACAGGAAACCGTCTGTTGTTGCTCCTGTCGCTACTTCATTACACAGAACAATAAAGTTTGTCAGTTTGAATATGAAATGTCTCTGGACTCTGGTGTTGAAGGTTCCTCAGCGTTCAGACCAATCCAGAATCAGTTTTAAACCAGGACACATTCAGGGGTCAGGTTTCAGGTTCTGGGTCAGGTTTCAGGTTCTGTCAGAGGAGCGTCACACTTGGTGTATCAATCACAAAGACTATATTTTATGCATAATCAATAGACTTGCACCGATTAATCAGCAGTGCTCGGAATCGGGCCTGTTTTCAGCTGATCAGCCATGACCTGTGACCGGCTGGTCAGTTTAAAATATGCCGATTTAAAATGCCGGTCAAATTCCCGCAGCGCCGCATGATTGACATCGCGTAACATCAGCAGCACACACACGCACATGTGCAACTCACAGCTTGGGCGATGTGAGGAAGTGAAACATGGGCGGCTTCTCACCTTCATCATTCACGCACACTCATCAAAAGAGAGAAGGAGGAAGTTGTTTATTGTCCGTGTTAGCCTGAACTGTGGAGCTCTCACTGCTGCACTGTGCCGCTGGACACTGACGAGGCGCGTGTTCACACGCTTACTGGCGGGCGCGTCCTCAGCACTAAAGGCTTTCATACAGGCGACCAACATGTCGGCCGTGTGGAATTTTTGTCTATTCAAGAAATTACCCACAAATGCTATACAGCAAGAATTATTATTTTATTTATCCATGTTTTTATTTATGTATGCCTTTTTAACTTATTTATTTTAATACTGTACCAGAAGTTATATTTGAGCAAAAAGGAAAATGTTTCTCAACCTGTGTTGCTGTTGTTGTTTGTGTTTGTGTTTGTGTTTGAGGTGATTATTGAAGAGCTGGTTGTATCCTGGTTAAAATGTTCTGATAAAGCAAACATAGAAAATATTGCAATATCTTGTGAGCTGTAAAGTGGTTTGAAAAAAATGAAATTGGTAGTGGCCAAAATCGTAATAGGCCGTCCAAACACTGCAAATCAGAAATCGGGATTGGCCCCAAAAATTGTAATCAATGCAAGTCTAGTAATCAATTAATCTATTGATGGATTATCAGGAACAGTGATTAATGTTCTGTCATTGTTCAATATTTTCTTATCTTCAGACAAACAGTGTAGGAGATGTTTCTTTTACCTGCCTGACAGTTTCGACTGTGACTCCAGTCTTCGTCAGAAGTTTCATCTGACGTGTTGCTGACGTGTCATTAATCAGCTGGCCGGCCCAACAGATCTATCAGAATCTGTAGGCAGTGACGCCTGATGTTAAGTTTTCCTGTTCTGGTCCTGGAGTCACAGTCGAAACTGTCCAGCAGGTAAAAGGAGCCTCTGCTGTTTGTCTGAAGATAAGGAAATACTGAACCTAATCCATCTAATGTGCTGTCAGTTACATCACTTCCTGTCAGAGCTGTCATCATGATGAAGGAGCTCACACTGTGTTCACTGACACATGACAGACATGATGAGGAAGAGGAGCAGACATGTTTGCACATCAGTGACGTCACACAGAAACAGTCTGGCGTGTCAGTGGGAACTTACTGGTTACAAAGTCATTTCGATTAATAAGTCGCGCGCGCGCGCGCACACACACACACACACACACACACACACACACACACACACACACACACACACACAGCAGCTCAGGGTCACCTGTCCACAGGTAAGTAACCTGTTAGGGTTTCATGAATGGACTGAAACAGCTCGTTAGCTCTGATGCTAACTCTGTGACGTCAGTCAGCTTAACTTCGCCGGTCTGAAGTTTATCGTGTCGTATTTTCGGGCTTTTAAAACAAATTAAACATTTAAAATGTTCAGAAAATAAATGTGACGTTGACTTACGTCAGCAGAGTCGCGTGAGCTTTAATCCGCAGGCTCGTCTTCAAGTATGAGCTAACTGAACAGCTAGCACTATTGCTAATGCTATCTGACAACGTCTTCTTCTTCTTCTTCTGCTGCTGTTGCTGCTCTGCTGCCCGGAAGAACAACTAAGACGTTTCCGGGAGGGTTTTTCAGAATAAAAGCGTTAATTCAGGTGATTGTTTGCGTGTTTATGTGACTTTGTTTGTTCTATTCGGAGGAAGAGGAGCTACAGAGACGAAGGTAGCCGATATCATTTACTGTAGTTTAACACGCGCACAGAGGACATTAGGCTCGTTGGAGATGAACTGCGCCTCACCTGTGACGTAGACAAAAGCAGGCGGCTGCAGCAGGAGGCGGGGCCAACAGGCTGCGGTGAGGTCGGACACTTACTTCTTATGGCCCAATTCCATATCCACAAAAAAAAAAAAAAAAAAAAAGGGCAGAATCAAAACCCAGTCTGCAACAATTCACCCAAGAAATCCACCAATATGCAATAACAATAAAAGACATTAAAAATAAAAAAGCCATGAAAACAAACTGTATTTTTGAGAGGCTCAATATAGCCCCACTTTAAGAACAATTATGGATGTTATTTATGTACATTTCTGGCAATGTTTCTTTTTTTTTTTTTGTTTCATTCTTTTTTTTTTTTGCTTTCTTTCCTTCTCCCCCTATTATTTTAGTATGTCCTAATCCTTTGTTTCCCCTGGTTTTTTGATGTATGTATCTATACTTATGTAGGCTATATAATGGTTTTCTTAAGTGTTTTGACGATGCTGTTATGCCTATCGTGCCTAAATTTAAAAAAAAAAAAACACAAAACTTGTGGACTTGGCAAGTCCACGCGAGAGTCCGGACTTCCCAAGAACAGGAGGACGGGAGGACGGGAGGATGTGAGGACAGTCATTTCTGCCTTTGGAACAGCAGCGAACTTGATGATGTCACCACCTCTGCTCGCCTTGGCTGTTGTACTGTGTTGTATACATGCATTTAGAATACAACAAAATGTCAAAATGTCAGCAGAATGTAGGACTACTTCAAATGAAGAGTTCAAAGTACTCATGATGCAGAGTGACCCAATTTCAAGTGTTGTAATCATCATATACATGAATATGTATTGAGTATTAATTGATCAACGTAGGCAACGTAGCAGCATTTAAATGTTGTCATGGTAGAACTTATTTTAACAGCTGTCACTGGTGCACTAGTCTGATCTATAACAACACACAGCAACTTGTAAATATGAAACAACAACATATAAAACAAACTATCTGAAAGTAACTATAGCTATCAAATAAATGTAGCTTGAGTAGAATGCACAGTATTTCCCTCTCAGTAAATGAAATACCCAAAGTACATCAGATTTGTACTTAAGTAGCTACTTGAGTAAATATACTTAGTTACTGTCCCTCACTGCATTTGTCTCATCATTATGCTTTCTGTCTACATTTTTATGGAGACGTGACAGTTTACTTGGTGCACCTAGAAAAAACAACAGCAGTTTAATATTCAGTCTGACATTTTATTGAAGTGTTGAGTTGTAGATTGTGGTGCTGTTGAACTGTACTGGATTACACTGACAGCAGTTTATCATTTAGTCTGTCCTCACCAATATAAATGGATCAAACAGGTCAGATGTTAAGAGGAGAAGTTTATTCAGACATCAGGTATACAATTCATATCAGATAATCAATATTTAAAATGCTGTTGAATACATACTACAATAAAGACAATATTTAAATACAATAAATAAATTACAATAAATTCTTAAAATCATTATTGAATGGTAAAAACACATAGGCCTACCACAGAGATATCAGCCACAAATTTCAAAAGGACGACCAGAGAAAAACTGCTCTCTGTGGGGCAGCCTGAGCGCTCATACACACGTTTATTACCTGTGAGCGCTGACACCACTGTCATCTAGCGGACCTCAGTCACGTTCAACTGGGCTCTATATTAAAACATCGACCACGGCTCTGACGTTTAAACTACGCATGAAAACACTACGTTCTGTGACAAAACAACAGTCACATATCGGTAATTATGGCTTACAACTGTGCGCCTTTCCCTCACTTGTCATTTTCCGATGACTGTTGCGAAATGCATGCTGGGATACCTGGCTGTCTGAAGTCCACACAAGTCTGCTCCGATGCATCCCCAGTGAAATGGGCGTGGCAAGAACACATCCAGGAATTTGGACTGAACTTGGCCAGATGTGAACTTTGAATTGGAACAATGCTTGGGCTGTGACTGATGACATGTCACAAGTCCACAAGAACACAAGTCTGCACAAGAACACATGGTGAGAAACGGCTTTTCCCTTCAGTCCGTACAGGAAGTCACAGACACACTCACATCCTGTCCCGAATGATGTCAATTCATTAAAAAAGTGATCAGACCCATATATCAGTTTGTTTGGTGCGGTTTAGTTTATTAGGATCCCCAATCTTCCTGGGGTCCAACACATCAAATTATACAGTAGAAAACACTGCAACACAATAAAGCACAACAAGCAAACAAAACAAATTCTACGGTCCGGATATCATCAGAAAAATCGTAATTCATTCATAATTCAAAAACCAAAAACGGTAAATCTGTTATTTGATTCAAAACAAAAAAAACAAGAGTACCCAAGAAAAACGTTTTTGGTGTCAGAATCAAATAACGAAAAACCAATCAAACCCGGCCCATTTTTGGTTTTTGTCGATCCGTTTTACCATTATTCCTTTTTGAACTGAATATTGAACGGGACTGCGGACATTCAGCCAATT